TTTTTAACAATTTCTAATGGTGGTGTGCCTCGTGATTTTTTTCATGAAAAAAGTGTGCCTTTGCACAAAAAAGGTTGAAAAACACTGGGTTAACAGTCATAATAACAAAGGACCCCAAAACAAAATTAACAGCCAAAATAAAGATATTAGATTTAAAACTGTAAAGCTCCTTAGGCTAAATAAGTTCATATAAAAGACTTGAGTGAACAGAAATATATTTACTTAGCACCAACAAGAATTCAGGAGTGATACCAGGAAAGTCTGTTGTGCAGCCAAAATAGCATTGCTAAAAACCAGAGATAAAAAAGTAAGTTCTGACTAAATTTATTGGCAAGTGAGCCTAATGGAGCCACCTCCTAACCGTATCTTGCCTCTTCTGATATGCTTGCATTCAGAAGAATGATAACTTATCTGTAATCATTTCTTTTAGCATTGATTGATTTTTATGTGTGTGTTTGCTCTTCTTAACCCAGGAAGAATACACCTGTAGGCAGAAGTATTCTGAAAGCTTATTTTGGAAACTCTGTTGTCCCTGTGCCTCTCCTCCTCTGGATCAGCCTTCATTCTGGAGGCCATGTCTTTGTTTTTCCATCAGACCAGTCCATTTCTGAAACAAATATTCTTGCTTGGATTGAAAAACTAAAGACCAAACAAGAAGCACCGAGAGGTAAGTAATCAGGGACAATTGATCAAACCTGCTTTCGTTTTTGGTTCAGTTTGTTTTCACTGTTTCAGGTTAAAAAAAAAATTGAACTTGTAAAGCTCAGTTATGATGGTAAGTCATGTAAGGCTTTATAGGCTAAAACCAGGATTGGCCAAACTGATGCATTCTGAAGCAAATGCAGCTTCCAGATGATTTGAAGGGCAGCCCCAAGTAAATATTGCAATACCCTAAACACCAAGTGATCGTGAGAAGTACAATGAATGAAACCATGCCATGTGCATTGATTCTTGCTTTGATTTCAAGTGGCTGAAAAAACCTACAGAGCCCTTCAGTCCCCTTGCTCATCCTTTATTTAGAAATTGTAGATACATAACAGGATGCCAGTTGACCACAGTGCTTGAATTGAAAGCACGTTAACCACAAACTGTTGTTAGCAGAAATGCTTGCATCTGGGTGGGAAGAAAATGATCTGTACAGATAAGAGCAGGAAGGGATTGTGAAAGAAGACAAAGGTTAGCTACAGATAGAGAGAATGGTGTAAAGGATCCAATTAGAGGGAGAAACAGCCAAGTGGAGATGATATCACACCATAGGAAGTTCTGGGCTTTGTAAAGAAAAAGAACACACTTCAAAGGATGAGGAAGTCATATTGTTTCCTGGTAGTGGGTTGGAGTCTTTGGTTCTCAATACATGCTGGGAAGAAATTGAATCCACGGATAATGAGAGCCAAGCAAATACCCCCCCCCCCGAAAATCTTCGCTAAGAATTTTCCCTTGTTACTGCTTCTTTCCCATTCCCTTCCTCATTCTCCCTTTTTTTTGGTATTTATTTGGTATTTATTAATATTTGTATGCCGCCCTTTTCCCTGGGGGGACTCAGGGCGGCTCACAGTTCAAGGGGAGGGGAGGACAAACCAAGTTACATATAGGACAATATATTTGTCTTGTAATTCAAAGATGTTCTTATTTTCATTATCCTCACCATAAGAATATGTACATCCCTGAATGAACAGCTTCATTTTCATTTGAGGCATCTTCTGTTTTTAAACGTGGAATGGAGTTAGAATATTTTAACGTCGTCGGGGGTTAGAAAATTGACCGCTTTAAGCAGAAAAAAGCGAAAAAGCGAGCAGTTGGGTTCAAGCTGGAAAGGTAAACCTTGCTTAACAGTCACTTCATAGGATACCCTAGATCAGGGATCTCTAACCTTGGCAACTTTAAGACTTGTGGACTTCAACTTGAAGCTTTGATGGCTGAGGAATTCTGGGAATTGAAGTCCACAAATCTTAAAGTTGCCAAGGTTGGAGACCCCTGCCCTAGATTACTTTTTCTGCTTAGGGAATTAAGTTGTTCTTGCAAGTAATTTGACCCATGATTTGGCATGACTGATATTTCTGAAATTTTTAATATCAACTAATTGTTCTTTAGTTGTGGATCTAAGTCAGTTTACCAATATGAACATAGATTTTCACAGAAAAATCCAACTTCTCACTGGGTGGAAGATATAATCAGCCTCTAGAAATGATAGGGGGCAATTGGGGGGAGGGCAGAGGTATTACTCATTTATTAATTTTACACGCCATCCATCCTGTCAGCAACCTGGAGGCATACCTTTTGGGTGAAATTCAAAGTTTTTTACTACTGGTTCTGTTTGCTTGGTGGGCATGGCAGGGGAAGGATACTGCAAAATCTCTATTCCCATCCCACTCCAGGGGATGGATACTGCAAAATCTCCATTTCCACCCCACTCTGGGGCCAGCCAGAGGTGGCATTTGCTGGTTCTCCAAACTACTCAAAATTTATGCTACAGGTTCTCCAGAACCTGCTGAATTTCACCCCTGTTTTGGATGGCAATCTCCATGTTATGGATATGGATCATACCCCCTGATAAATTTCAAACATTTTAAATTTCAAACATTTATTTTATCTCCAATTGCCTGTCGACTCTCTCTGTCCTGGCAATATAATAAATAAAGCACACTTTTGCAACTTATAGCATGCTTCTGTAATTCTGATGACAAAAACATCATTGCAGATAGATATAATAATAATTTGCTAAATTATTATATGCTACCCAATTCCCAATGACTCTGGGTTGCTTACAATTGTTAAAACGTTTTTTAAAACGATACAGCAAACACAAAACACTACAAGCCAAAGAAACAACAATGGCAAGGAAAATAAGCCCAGAGGGGGACAGAAGGAGGGGTGGAGGGATATCAGTAATTCTCTCCAAAGCCCTGGGCAGAGGGCCAGATCTTTAAGGTCCTTTGAAATGTCAGCAGGGTGGAAGCCATTTAGATCTCTGGTGAACCTCATCTCTGGGGGAACAAAAGATTGGTGATTCCACCAAGAAGGCACACATCTAGGATCTCAATAGAACTTGGAGTGCACCAACCCTGCCAGATGAAACTATTGGACAGATATTACGGAAAACAGGTGGTCTATCAACTAACTAGGCCAGTGGTGAAATTCAATTTTTTTTACTACCGGTTCTGTGGCTGTGGCTTGGTGGGCATGGCAGAGGAAGGATACTGCAAAATCTCCATTCCCACCCCACTCCAGGGGGAAGGATACTGCAAAATCCTCATTCCCTCCCCACTCCTGGGGGCAAGGATATTGCAAAATCTCCATTCCCACCCCACTCCAGGGGGAAGGATACTGCAAAAACCTCATTCCCTCCCCACTCCTGGGGGCAAGGATATTGCAAAATCTCCATTCCCACACAAGGTGGTATTCAGCAGG